GCTATGTGATGTGAGACTTAGGACGAACTTCACTTGGGGAGGCGGGGCAGCTTCACAGAGGTGGGGGGCTGGCACCTGATCTGAACCCCTAAACATGCATGTCCTGGGAACAGAAGTTGTATTGGACACTGAGGCAAGTAGGACCTTCTTATTCGGGAGCAACTGAGTCTTCAATGCTGGGTGTATCACCAGAAGGTCAGAGAAGGACAGTTTCCCCAGAGTGTCTCCTGAGATAGGAGGCCCAGAGGGCCTCAGTTTCCCTATCTACCGAATGAGGCACCTCGGGCTTCACACACACTTCCACTAATGTGGGCCAGCTTGGGGGAGCCCTGTTGTTCTCTGAGGAGCACCCCAGTTCTCTCCACAATCTACATCCCTGTTTATTTCCCCTATTCTGCCTAGTTGGGTGCTGGGCTCCTTAGAGGGTGGGGAAGCCAGACATCTGCTGAGCCATGAATATTCAGGAAGGGAATTGGAGCCTCCTCTGGGTTCCCCAGCCAGTCGCCCTGCCCCTCTGGCCACAATCCTGCCCGCCAGAGCCCAGGCTGCTGACATACCCAGCAGCTGCTCAGCCCCAACTGTTCACATTGTTTGTTCAGCGCGGCAGGGGATTTTCCAATCCCCGGACATGCTTTGGGGGGCAGGGAGGCTGCCGGAGGGCTCAGGGATTCGTGTCATGTGGGCTTTTCTCCCCTGAAATTCAAACCGACTGCTCAGTGGCTGGAATAGGGCAATTGGAAGCCACTGGGCTGAGAGCCCGGCCTTGCCTTCCCCTACCCAGTGTTTGAATCATGGAATCTAGGGCCTCAGAGATAGAGGGGACTGCATGCTAAGAACAGTGATTAGCATTTGTACGACGGCCCTTTGCAATTTACAAAGTACCATTAAAGAAAGTCCTGTTCCACTGGGCTCTGGACTGGGGTTCCCATGTACATCATCTTGTTTAATCGGCACAGGCTTGTTAGCATCATTTTCATTTTATAGATGTAAAATGTGAAAACTGAATACCACAGAGTTTCAGAGGTTTGTCACACAGCTTTTAGGTGGAACAGCATGACTGAAACCTTGATCTTTGTCCAAGGTCAAATGCTCTTTCCACCACAGCACACGACCTGCAATGGTAGATGCCAGTGCAATTTCCTCAATTGGAATGGAAATTGGAGAAACATCTGAATTTGGAAAAGCACCCCAGAAATTATGCCACAGATTTGGAAGGGGGGCGGCGGCAAATCTGTTAGTAATATGTTGCATTGCAAGGTTCTTTTTTGCTAAAGAGATTAACTACTTAAAATATAATTTCATAGATGTAACTCAAAAAATAGACTGGAAACCCGGTGAGGGTAGGACCACCTTCTCCCTCACCCACTAGTAATGAGTTCACCAGTGCCGCTGGAGATGCCCAGGGCAGCCTTTCTGAGGGAGTAAGAAAGGCAGAGGCCTGGTTCAGGTCCATTCTGCCTGTCCCTTACATGGTGATGTCAGCACCCTGACTTCTGCCCTGCCCTCCTCATCTCAGCCAGTCCAGACTTTTCTTCCTCACTCAATCTTGTTCCTCTTTAGGGATGGTGACAGGGGTCCGGGGGACTCCCAGTTGTCATACATGTGTCCAGGTGTTGACGAATGTGGCAGGGACTGGGATGCATGTGTTCAGGTGTGGAAAGGTATCTACAGTTTTGTGTGTGATGATCTGTTTCTTTAGGAGTAGGTATGTCCAGTTCATTGAATAATTTTAAGATCATAGACCCATAGACATCTTTGATACAGCCAAGTAAACTAAGGCCCAGAAGGGGAAATGACTGGCCCTAGCTGTTACAGGGCAACCAGTGTGAAATGGGTTGGCCTGACTATGGGTCCTCAACGGTGCGCTTCAGAGGGACTTATAATGAGACTCAACTGCAGGTACACACAAAAGGGGTCATATAGGGTTTGTTTATAAAAAGAAAGAAAGAAAGAAAGAAAGAAAGAAAGAAAGAAGGAAGGAAGGAAGGAAGGAAGGAAGGAAGGAAGGAAGGAAGGAAGGAAGGAAGGAAGGAAGGAAGGAAGGAAGGAAAGAAAGAAAGAAAGAAAGAAAGAAAGAAAGAAAGAAAGAAAGAAAGAAAGAAAGAAAGAAAGAAAGAAAGAAAGAAAGAAATGCATAGCTTAAGGAGAAAGAGAGATAAATTGGTGAATGCGTCCTGTCAGTTCCGCTGAGCTGGGACCCCAATAGGATGCTGATTGCCGGGGAAAAAACCAAGGGTCCCCAAGACCCACATATCTGGTTATATACCAACCTTGGCTGCCTACCTCCACCCTCAGTTCCCAACAATACTCCCTTTGGCGGTGATGACACTATGGGATTTGTAGTCTTTGGTGTCTCGGATCTCTTTTGTCCTGGGTGGGGGTGGAGGGCCCATAAAACCTATTTGTGGAGTTTGTTCAAGACATCCTAGACTGTAACAGAGCTGGGTCTAGAACTGAGGGTCTCCTGATTCCATAACTATTGTGCTTTTTCTACATGTCCCAGACGGCTGTCAGTCCACACTGACCTTATCATGAGTATAGGCCATTGCCCTTACCTCTGTCCCAGGTTCGCTATCAAACAAACCACTCTACCTTGAAGCAAGAGTCAGGCCAGAGGATAAGAAGGGACCTTGGGCTACTGAGTTTTTGTGGAACAGGGAGACAGCAGTACAACCTTCTGGGAGAACCATTTATCTGTCAATAATGGTTACTGGACCTTGATGAAATGTTTGTTAAAATAATAGACATTGATCTTTGTGTGATTTTGCCCTTACCGTGGGATGCTGTTCCCTTCCTCCATTGTCCCTCTACTCTTCCCTTTGTGGCCAGGCGAGTGTTGGAACTGCTGGCTCTTCTGGGGCCCCTAAAGAGAAAAAAGCCCTGGTCTGGCTCACAGACTGGGTTCCGGCTCTGGTTCGGGAAATTAGCTGTAGGAAGAAGTCTTTGCTCTCTCTATATCACAAGTGGCAGCTAGCCAGTAGGGCTCTGGTCCCCCCAGTGCCTGAAATGAGCCAGGGGAGCCTCCTCTTAGACTTGTTTCGGCTCGAGCTTAGGCTGGCCCCGACCTGGGTGGTCACAGAGCACTCAGTTTTGCCCAGCAGGATCTGCTCACTGTATCCACTGTGGGACAGGAGAGGAAGTCTGACTTCTTTTTTATTTTTATTTTTTTTAAGATTTATTTATTTATTTATATAAGCACTGGGTACAGTCAGAAGTCCATTAGGGTAAGAGAATTCACCAGAGCCAGAGCGGGGAACAGAATAGACAGACAAATGAAATACACTGCTGAGGGGAGCAGTGGGCGGCAGGAGAGGTCTGTGCACCATGTGGGACCCTCACCGGTGGCTGGGGATCGAACCAGCGCTGCAGAGGCTGCGGGCAGCTTCACAACTCAGCACTCAACCACTGCACCGGGGAGGCCCCAGTCTGACTTCTTTTATCCCGGTGTTCACAAACCAGCTAGATCTTATTTTTTGTTTTGTTTATTCAAGATATTTATGTATTCAGGGCCTCCTTGGTGGCGCAAGGGGTTAAATATCAGCACTCTCTGGGCCTCCCTAGTGGTGCAGAGGTTGAGCGCTGAGTTGCGAAGCTGCCCGGCAGCCTGTGCGGTTCGATCCCTGGCTGCTCCCCGGCCACAGGAGGAGGGTCCCGCATGGGGAGCAGACCTCTCCTGTCTTGCCTGCTGCTCCCCTCAGCAGTGTACTTCGGTCCTTCTGCCTGCTCTGCTCCCCGCTCTGGCTCTGGTGAATTCTCTCACCCTCCCGTGCCTCTGACTGTACCCAGTGCTTGTATGAATAAATAAATAAATCTTTAAAAAAAAAAAATATCAGCACTCTGAAGCTCTCCACAGTCACTGCAGCATGAGTTTGAAACCCAGCCAGGGAGGTGACCCCCATGGCGCAGTAGACCTCTCCTGTCTTGCCTGCTGCTCCCCTTAGCAGTGTGTTTCAGTGAATCTGCCTGTTCTGTTTCCCACTCTGTCTCTGGTGAATCCTCTCACTGCCTCCTACACCCCAGCTCTTGTGTGCATGAATAAATAAATCTTTAAGAAAAAACAAGATATTTATGTATCCACAAACACATAGCACATTCTCACACAGCATGTTCTCACACTCACAATACATTTCCTGGATACAATATTTTTCAACCCTAGTGTATATTCTTCATTGGGTATCAGTGGTCAAGACAATTCCTAAGGTTCCAGGGGAGGGGATGACATTGCTGAACCCCTATTCTATCCCAGGCCAGGCTTGTGCTGTGCTCTTTTCTCACACACGTGTCCTCTCATTGACTGTCCACAATAGCCCTATGAGAAAGGAATCACAGTCTTTTTTTTATTGAGATATGATTCACATACCATAAAACTCACCGTTTAAAGTGTTGAAATAAGTGGTTTTCATATATTTCACAGGATGTGGAACCATCATCGCTATCTAATTCTAGAACATTTTTCTCTCCCAAAAAAGAAATCTCACGCTTCTTAACGATCACTCCTCCTTTTCCCCTCTTTCCGGTCCTTGGCAACCACGAATTTCCTTTTTGTCTCCATGGATTTGCCTACTCTGGTTGTATTATAGAAACATGTGGCATTTTGTATCTGGCTTCTTTCACTTAGCATAAAGTTTTCAGTGTTCACCCATGTCGGAAGGTACATCAGTACTTCATTCCTTTTGATGGCTAAGTAATATATCTATCCATTCATCAGGTGATGGGTATTTGGGTTGATTCTACTTTTTGCCTTTTATGAATAGTGTTACTATGAACTGTGTTTTCATGGATGAGGAAATTGAGCAGCGGGGGAGGGTGGGCAAGGAGAAGCACAGCGGTTTGGCCAAGGTCACAGTGAAGGGGAGTGCCAGGACCCAGAGGCAGGTCTCTCCATGAGACAACTTGTCCTACCCCATCATGTGCCCCTGCCCCGGCGGGGGGGCCTCAAGAGCTGGAGACTACCAGAGGTGGGAAGACACCCACTGATGGCCCATGCCACCTCTATGCAGGGGAGCTGCCTTTGCCCCAGGAGACGACGGTGGAGCTGAGCTGTGGAGCAGGGCCTCTGCGAGTGATCCTGGGCCCAGGGCAGGCGGCGGTGCTGGACTGTAGTCTGGGGGCTGCCACAGCCGGACCTCCCACCAGTGTGACATGGAGCAAGGATGGAGGCGCCCTGCCGGAGCACGACCACCTACGCCTGCTCCCCAATGGCTCCCTGTGGCTGTCCCAGCCACTAGCACCCAACGGCAGTGACAAGGCTGCCCCTGGAGCCCCGGAGGTCATTGAGGGCAACTATTCCTGCCTGGCCCACGGCCCCCTCGGAGTGGTGGCCAGCCAGGCCGCTGTGCTCAAGCTTGCCTGTAAGTGCCTACACTTGGGGGCTAATCTGAGACCTGGGAGACCTTGGGTGTGCGAAGTGGGATTTGAAGTTAGTTGCTTGCCTTAAGGCTTCTCTCTGGAGTCCACTCCTACTTTTCCTGTCTCCAGTACTGTTAGGTAGATCCCTTGCTGGTATTGTCTGCCTCATTGTTCTGTAGTCCCCCTGCTCCTCACGCCTTGTCTTTCTCTCTGAGTTTCTCTTGTCTTTCTCTTGGTGTCTTGAGTGGAGCTCTCCTCCAAGAAGCCTGCCAGAGAGGCTTGTGAGAGTCAGAAACACACAGGTGCCTGCCTCCCCAGGGACCTCCCCACCCCACAGCAGGTGGAGTACGGGGAGTCAAGCACCATTGTTCAGCTCACCCCTCGGAAGGCTCTCAGGAGGCACAGTCACAGGTCACCATGAGATAATTTTCATGCGTGTTACTCTAGTCTGACCACGATGTGCTCTTAGGCAGAGGGACTTGAATTCATTCTGCTGCTGCATCTGATCTGTAATTACCCCTTCACTTCCCTGTCTGCCTCTCTCCAACGGTCTCCTTTGGTCTGTATTTGCTCTGCTCGTGTTTCTATTCCTGTGTTTCTGTGTCTGTGTATCCACGCGTGCATGGCCTGCGTGTGTGTGTGTGAGGTGGTTCACTGTCCACGCTCACTGTCCATGTCTCTTTCCCACACCCTGTCCTTGCTTTGTCTCGCTGTCCTCATCCCCAGCACTGGCAGGCTTCTCTCTGCACCCGGAGTCTCAGACGGTGGAGGAGAATGGGACAGCTCGGTTTGAGTGCCACATTGAAGGGCTGCCAGCCCCTGTCATTACTTGGGAGAAGGACCAGGTGGCGGTGCCTGAGGAGCCTCGGTGAGTGCCCTGTAGGGTCTGGGGAGTGGGTCCCAGTGGGCAGGCCAGAGAGGGCTCTGGGGGATGCTCAAGAACTAGGATTCTTAGAGTTGGGGTGACTCCATTTGTTCAGACTGACTTGGGAGCCAACCACTGCCTGACTCTCCTCTCGCTTCTGGTTCAAAAGAGAAGTTAAACATGCTTCTCAAAAGAGAAGTTTTTGCTCTCTAGGAGGAAAGACTCCCACCATGCTGTGGAACTTGGAGAATAGTGGTGATAGGGTCCTTCCGAGCTAGTCCAACCACTTGCTGTTTGAGAAGGAGACTGAGGGCCAGAGAGGAGCTGTAGTTTAAGCAAGGCCACACGGTGAGTCATTGGGAAGAATATTTGTTGTTCATTCAGGGCCTGGAGGCTGCTGGGAGGGTTTTCTCTTTGTAGGGTTCCTCTCCAGTTTGCACCCTGGATGCATAACTGCCTCTCTCAGTTGCATCCAGTGGGGTACAGCATCTGATAAATGGGTTGTGGATGTTCTTGCTCTTTCACCTTCCTGTCTCCCTATAAAGGCAATGGGTAAGTGGAGAAATGCCAGGGAGGAGTTTCTAGGGTGGAAGAGAAGCAGAGGCTAGACCCCAGAGTTGATCCCTATTTTGGCCTCCTGGGTAGGTCCAGATGTCCACGCAGGACGAACAGGAGGCATGAGGCTCACGTATATCTGGGCCTATGTCTTGACCTTAAAGAGTCATTTCATGACTGCCACCCCCATGGATTCTTGCATCTTTGGAATGTGCCCCCAGTGGCCTTTCCCAGCCACTCTACAGTCCTCTCCCTATGTTTCTCTCGTGTAGTTGAGTTGACAGCTCACTCATTTTCTCCTGGGGGAGGTGGAGTTCCTTAGAACTCAGAAATACTGGTCTCCAGATCTCCCGGGCTTGAGACTAACCTGTCTGGAATGTGTTGAGTCGCCCCAGCTCCTCTGACTTTGGCCCATGTCTAGGTAGGGGTGAAGGTGTAGGAGAAAAACCACAGGACACATCCAGGCAACACTTGTGAGGGAGAAAGGCGAGAGGTCAAAATATAAGTGATCCTGTTGACTTTGGTGATCGGTGAGCCCTATTTGTCCTCAGCAAGTCACCTCTCACTCAGCTTCATCATTCCCATGTATAGATTAAAGGGGAAAAAAATGAAAGGGTTGGATTAAATCATAGTTTCCCAAAGTGTTCTCTTTATAACACATTACTTCCTAAAGATGCTTCTTGAAAAAAAGTGTTCCATGGTCAGATAAGGTGAGGAAACTGCCTGTAAATCTCCCTGGAATTGGCCAGGCCTCAGAAGCCCTGTGCAGGGGGCCGTGGAGCTGGGCACTGCCTAGACTCAGTTGCCTGGTGCCCCTCTGGGGGCAGCCCTGTTAACATCCCATGGGTGAGTGTTCTAGGGAGTGGACCACGGGGATGCTGGCCCAGCTGTACCTGTCCTGGCCCTTTAAATTCTATGCCTTTCTGAATGTGGGGCGTCTCACCATTATCTGGTAGGTACTTCCTGGAAGTTACATGAACACAGAAAAGATAAGCTGAATGAGAATCAGTGAAACCCCACTCCTGGGAGCCCCCAAATGAGGGGCGAGCAGAAGAATTGTCTGGGTTCAAAGTTACTACAAGGACTTCTTAGGGCAAGCTCACTCTGGGCCCAACATTGTGCTAAATAAGCCTTTTGCAAAATATATTTTCTCACTTACTCCTTCCCATCACCTTCAAGGTATTTCTTATTTTTCTCCTAGTTTGTGTTCCTAGTTGATGCATTTTTCAAATTCATGAAAACAAAAAAAAGAGGAAACAAGAATTATTCATTATCTATTCACCCAAGGAAAGCCCCTGTTAGTTTTGCTGTCTGTCCTTCTGGACTTTCCCCTCTATATATTTATAAATATTACTTTTAAAATTTTGGGTAATATATTGTACATGCTGAAGTTCTCTTTCAATAACCTTTTTATTCAAAGTAAAAGTAGGATTGTACTTTAGCTCTCACTTATTTTCACTTACACATAATGCACATCCTTACCTATGTCTGTACACATGGCTATGTCAGATGATATTACCTGGACTGTTAAGTAACAGAACTGAAGATCAGAGACAGAAGTAACTTGCCCCAAGTCACACTGTTAGTTCCCAGAATGCCAGGACCCAGGGCCCTAGCAAGGATGACACACACACTTCTCTGTGATTTAATGTTTGGGCACAGGGTCTGAAGAAGTTCCTGCTGCAGGTGGTCCGTGGCTCTGAGCCGAGAAGTTACTTCCCAATGTTCTCAGTGGTGAGGTGCTCTGGCCTCCCAGTATCTAGTTCAGGCATCATCCCGTGAAGCCACAGGCCTCTCCCAGAAGGCAGGAGCTGCCAGTTCCTGGACTCTGGAAGTGTTTGCCCCCAAGTCCTCTGAAAAGTGATCCTCTTCTATAAATAAGTCAGGCTCACATGTCCAGCACATTGTGTGGGGGGAATAAAGAAATGTCTAAAACAGCAACTTGATTATGTCCAAGGTATGTATTTTTACCCATGCTCAGATATAGCACATGTACAAATATGCTATTCATAAACGCAGCCCAGTGGTTTGAAAAAGACCATATGCCTTGGTGTGGGGTGTGCACATGTGCAGTTAATAAACACACTCTGTCAGGGTATATGTGCATATTTTTGGAACTGATGGTGAAGAGTAGATCCTGAGGCAGTTCCCTGTTCTCTATACTAATTTCTAATGATAGGAGATAATCTTCCTTCCATGGGAACCCGTGATCAATGAAAGCAATCTCAGGATTTCACAAAATCCCTTCATAATTTTGGCCATCCCAAAGCCATTCACTTGGTACATTTTCTTGAAGTTAGCTCTCTCTTTTGTTACTTTGACCCAACTAGAAAGGAACACTCAGTCAAATGGCCAACCGGCAACACTTACCATAAATAGAAGGTAACCATAAAAATAAATATGCAACCACTGAAATAAAAATGTGTATCTGGATCCACTTGAAGTCATTTCGTTATCACCATTCTCTCACACTTTTAAAATATGGCACTAATGGACTTAAATGCCATGGGGTCCCTCGTCTAGTCGTCTGCCCTGGGCATCCCCACTGTCCTTCATGCCTGTCAATCTCATGTGACCCTTTTCCCTGGGCAGATCTCTGAAGGGCTGGAGTGGGTGCTCCTGGCCTTCAGGAAATTCAGAGCAGCTGCGTCATTTTTTCCTGCATTCTTGAATGCCTGGGTCCAAGTGACCTTTTCAGGGTGGAGACAGCCGGCTTAAGCTCAGGCATGGAAAATCTTTTGCACAGAGGTGACTTTTCATTCTATGAGCAGCTATTTTGTTTTATTTGAAATTTGAATTAAATTTTAAATGATGAAATATACCAGAAAGGTACAGAAAGGGGGAAAATTGCCATCTACCAACTGAATATGGCTGTTGCCATTTTGAGTGTTCCCTCCTGGTCATTTTAAATGTAAGTATGTTTGTGCCTCTGTGTTTGGCTGTTGTGATTCATAGATCGTGTTTATGTCCATGAGCTCATGTGAACTTACAACACACTAAAAAATGCCAGGTGCCTTTGTGAAGTAGGCAGGACAAGAATTATGGAACCATTTTTCAGGTGAGACACCTGAGGCTCAGACATTTGAGGTGATGTGCTAAAACCACCAGTGGTGCAACCAGTTCTCTCCACACCACTGCTGCTTCTGTGTGGGGGCCCGGAGTTACACAGCAGTGTCCAAAGCTTTTCAATTTTTAAAAGTTTTAAATTTTCGAATGTGTAAATATTCACTGTAAAAGATGTTTTAGAGTTTCTGGGCTGGTGGACATGGAGAGATTTGGGGAGCAAATCTGCCCACTCTTTTCCCATACCTTGCCCTGCTTCTTTATCTTGCTGTTGGTTCATGTTGGGTTTTTTAGTATTCTTTGCAATACATCAGTGATCTAGTGAGTGAAAAACACTCTTTTAAAACACAGCAAATATGGGTGCCAAGTAACCCCACTCCCAGAGAAACCCCACAAATAATATATGTGAGCCTTACCCCTCTTAACATTTTTCTATGCCTGTCCTAACCTATCATTTATCTATTTTCCAAAAATAGAATTGCTTCATAAACACTGTTTTGTGACTCCCCCACACCAAACTAACCAATATAACTTGGACATCTTTCCAAGGACAGAGCTCCTTAAAACACATTTTAAAAGAAAAGAATTTTTATGAACACTGACAGCAGCCCCTCTTGTTTCTGTTGGCTGCAGCAACAGCACCACATCCAAGGAAACATATCACTCCTTCCTTCGTGCACTAATTAAACATACATGATTAAGGAAGTGGTACTTGTCAAAGGAGCTATCAGCTCTTGGGCACCCAGGGCACAATCTCCCTGGCAAGAGTGAGAACTTTGGGGTTAAGAAATGTGGGCAGCTCTGGCAGGCCCCCTGCACGCATGGTCAGCAGGCTAGACCCAGGGAGCAACCAGTTTTTGGATCTAGAACATATTAGCTGGAGGAAACCTAAATGGGTCTGGGGCCTTGTTTCCCAGGCAGGCCCTGCTGGTCTCCCCACACTTGTCCTTTCCCTTCAGTTTTCCATGGCAGAAGACTGGGACCTGGCCCAGGATTTTACTCCCAAGCACCCTTTGCCTCCTTGTCCCTTTGCCCACTCTGATGTGGGCAGCTGTGGGGTGAGGGTGAGACCCTGGGGCAGAGGAGGGTTTGCCTGTTGTACAAGGGAGGGAGGGAGGGATGTAGGTTTCTGGTTTTTCTCTAAGTATTTGGACCAGATTTCCAGGCCTCTGGCCAGAAGTCTCTCCCAACGCTAGTGAGCTAGCTCTTTTCCTGTGGTTAGATTTTCTAATGCCCCATTTTCCCACAAGCCAAGCGATCTTCACCAAATGCACAGCTGCCCCCTTCCCTCTCTGACCTTAGCCAAGCCTACAGCTAGGAGTTAGCACCATTTGCTCTATTGAGAAACTAGGACTCTCTACCTTGAGCTGTCCCTGCAAGGATAACGGCTGGAGGATTCAGCTCATTCACCCTCTGCTTGGGCCAGAGCGTGCTCTGCTGTCTAGCTCCATGGTCCTATGGGGAATTCTCCACCCTAGACTGCATTGTCTCTGGACCTTTCTAGCACAAGCAGCTTTCCTACCTTCTAATCAAGAGGGCAGAGAAGACACCCTCATCCATCGTGTCCCTCTTAAGGAATACATGTGTTAACTGAGGCTTGCTGGGGACTGCATTCCTTCCAGGGCATTCTCGGTCATCTAATGGCTGTTGAGACAAGGAGGGGGCAGGAACATGGAATTTGGCAACAGAAGGCCTGGGTTCAAGTTTTAACTGCACCAGTAGTGAGACCCTGGGAATATATCCTACTCCCTCAGAGTCTTGGTTTCGTCACCAACAAAATGGAAGTTGTGATCACCTCTAGCTCTTGGATTTCTTTTGTGAGATATCGAATGAAATAGTGTGAATAAAGGAATATTGGCAGTGGAGGGAGAGGTAATACAGATAAATGGTTTTAAAAATATATATAAATCTATAAATAAATATGTGTATATGTATATATGTATACAAATACGAAGGTATTTAATAATAAAGACTCTCACTGTGAGGATGTCCTCCCCAGAGACAAGCATCAGGGACATTCAATACAGACATGTAAGTGTCTCTATCTCTCTCTCTCTCACTGCCCCCCGCCCCCACAAACACACACACACACACTGTTCTGTACCAAACATATTTTGAAGATCATCCTACATCAGCACACATGGGCTACCTCCTTTTTAACAACTGCCTAACATTCCATTGTATGAACATACCCAAGCCAATTTAGCCAGTTATCACCCTCCAATGGATACTTGGGTTGTTTCCAGTCCTTTATTGTTACAAATAGTGCTGGAGTGACTGTCATTAAGAGTACATTGTGGGGCCTCCCCTGGTGGCGCAGTAGTTGAGCACTGGGTTGTGAAGCTGCCCGCAGCCTTTGCAGCGCCGGTTCGATCCCCGGCCGCCGGCGAGGGTCCCACAAAAAAAAAAAAAAAAAAAAAGAGTACATTGTGTACATTTATGAGAATATCTGTGGGACAGGGTCCTTGAAATGGCATTGCTATGTCAAAAGGCATATGCAGATCTAATGTGAAGATATCACCAGCTTGCCCTTGAAAGGGTGTATTGATTGGTATGGAGTGCCCTTCCTTCATCCACATAGGGGGGTTTTATTAAACTTTTTGACCTTTGCCAATCTGAGAGGTAAAAATGGTATCTTGCAGCTTTGACTTGCATATCTTTATTATGAGTGAGGTTTGACAGTGAACTGCTGTAGGTATTTCAGGCTGGAATGGGAGGTGGACCCAGGAAGGTTTAGGCAAGCCACTCTCCCTGTGGTGCTCCTGCCCACCTCACAGGTAACCCCTTCCCCATTCCCAAGATTCATCACTCTTCCCAACGGGGTCCTCCAGATCTTGGATGTTCAGGAGGGTGATGCAGGCTCCTACCGCTGCGTGGCCACCAACTCAGCCCACCAGCGCTTCAGCCAGGAGGCCGCACTCAGCGTGACTCACAGAGGTGAGGGGGCTGGTTGGGTGGGAGAAAACGGGGGGTTTCTGCCATCAACCCTCTCAGCAGTTAAAGGGGACTCAACAGGTCCAAATGGGTGTGGAGGGTATTAGTCCCATGGGACAGGTGAGGCTATGAAACCCCGAGAAAGCGAGACCATCCAGCAAGTCAAACAAAACTGGACTGGGAAGCCAAGGCTGGACCCCCAGTCTGGGGGCCCCCTCCTTCCCGCGTAGTCTCTGTTCCCCTGGGTTGGGTGGAGCGTCAAGGGCCATGGAAAGGAGTGGGGTGGTAAGGCACCTGAAGAGGGGTATGAGTGCCCTGAAGTCCTGGTCCTGCCCCTCTGTGTACCCCAAGGGGCTCCTGGCACAGGGGGATATTCCCCTTGCTATAGTGCACTGCAGGTCTGGCTCCCTGCCAGCTAGTGTGCTTGTCTTTTTCTCTGATTCTCGGAAAAGATCCTATCCCAGTGTGACAAAGTAGGAAGGGTAGAGCTTTGGGGTCAGAAAGACCTGGTTGGAATTCTGGCCTCTCCACTCACCATCTGTGTGACCCTGGGCTTGTTATCGAATGTCAGGTTCAGGGAGGTGGTGAGAATAGCTGATACGAATGGAAAGTGCCTGGCACATAGCCGGTGTGCAACAGATCTGACTTCAGGCCTCCCCCAGCTGGCCTCCCTTTGCCATGAAATCTCCCCTCACCTGGCTGCTCCCTTGTACCTCCCTCTTATCTCCTGCCCTGGGCAACCCCTTCACACACACCCACACTTAAGGGCTTACTTAGCTGATCAGCTGCTCAGCTTGGTGGGCTCTTTTTCCTGCACCCTGGGTCTCTGCCTCCACCTGCTGGACAAACCAGGTATTCGCCATACCCACCCACAGGGCCAGGGTGACACTGAGAACTTGGCAGCGTGCAGGGAGATGCCAAGGTGGCAGAAACTTGAACCCACCACTGCTACTTTCATGTGGGAGCCTGAGACCCTTTGGAGAAGGGACTTGCCTGTGGTCACACAGCATGTTGTTGGCAGTGATGGAACTAAACAATGATTATTGTCTCCCAATCCATACCCTGCTAGGCCTCTGCCTGGAGGGTTAAAGGAGGAAAGACTGGGGGTAGGTGTGTCATAGGCCAGGTTATTTTTCTCCTGGCTCCAAGAGAAAGAGCCCTGAGTTCGGATTCCAGCTCTGCTGAACTATGTCGCCACTGTCTGCCAGATGACATCCTGACTGCTCCTTGTCCCACCTGCCAGGTGACTGCTATCAGGTGAGGTACTGCAGGTGAAGACACCTAATGGTAAGGTTGCCTGCTGGCCTGCTCTTTCTCCAGGGTCCCTGGTGTCCACTCAGGGGCAGGATGTGGTCATCGTGGCAGCCCCAGAGAACACCACGGTGGTGTCTGGCCAGAGTGTGGTGATGGAGTGTGTGGCCTCGGCTGACCCCACCCCTTTTGTGTCCTGGGTCCGACAGGGTAAGTGGAGGGCATAAGAAATAAGAGGTGGCGAATCTCACCAAGTCAGGGAACTGTAAGTGTGATGACTCAATGGCCACTGACCCTTAGAGCGGTGGAACTCCTCTCCCAGGGCTGACTGTGGATGGGAAACCTGGACAAACTTAATCACCTGTTGGATAGCATGTTTCCTTTACCAAGCAAGCACTTTGCCTTCCCCTTAAAAACTTGTTATTGAAACCCTACTTGGGGTGGTCACTGGGCTGGTTCCCCATCTTCTTTCCCTCCTTCACAAGAGTTGCAAGCGAGTGTGTGCAAGCTGGGAAGGTGGCACACAGCAAGTCAGGTGGATCCAGGATCCCACAGCTGGTCTAACTACAGAGTTGCTTCTTGGTCTACCTCTCAGTCCTAGTATGCTGCTGCCTTTGTGTGCCTGGCTGCAGGCTGGGTACAATGAATAAAATCCCCAGATGAGACAGACAGGGACCCTGCCCTCTGAACTTGTGGTGTGGGTGAGGGAGATAAAAACAGCCATGATGAAGACTTCTATCAGATGGAGCTTTAGATAAGAAGGTCAATATTAAAGTCCTAATGCTATGAGGACTAAAGCATATCTGAATATTGACTATACTGACCACTGGATAAGGACTTTAATATTAAAGTTTACAATGTGCTTTTACATACATAATTTATTTGAACCTAACTCTGTGAAGGAAGAAAACACTTCATTCTGGATCCTATAATGTCTCATGGTCTAACTTTCACATATGAGGACACCAAAACAAACAAACAAAAAACAAACAGCCATGATGAGTGGTTTGACAGTATCAGGCAGCAAGTGATAAGTGGTCAAATGGGACTGCATCACAGGAGATGCTATCCGGGCAACGAGCGCACTAGGCCAGACCACCTTGCAGCCTACTTAGCACTCATACCCGTTCTCCTGCACTTCTTGGAGGGTTGTGGCCAGGACTATTATTCTCAGTGGGCAGATGAGGACACTGAGACTCAGAAGCAGGTGAAGAGGCAGCATCAAAACTTTAGAGCCTGTTCTCTTTCTGGTATTCCAGTCCATACAGGTCCTGTATGGAAAAAAAGCAAGGACTATTTTTGTTTCCATTCATCAATAAGAAGTGACTTGTTTCACCCAAGTTAATGGTGAAATAAGTCTTACTCCAGTTCTCTTTAGCCTTCTTTCCTGGATCAGGCTACTACCCTACCCTGCCTCTGTTTTATAAATTTGTATCTCGCATTCAAAAGTATGTAGTTTAAAGAAAAATAATAAATGGAATGGCTATATCTGCCACCGAGATGATGAGAACGAACAATGCTGATATCTTTGTGCTTCCTGATCTCCAAGGCCTCATTGCACCTGCAGCACTTACCTTGTTAGGGTGATGTTGGGGCCAGCAGAACCCTCATAATATTGGGACAAGGCTGTGGTGTCACCCAGAATATTATCAGTGATTATCTATTATCAGTGTTTCTAATCCTGACCATGCATCAGGGACTTTAAAACTGTAGTCTCCTTCCCTCATGCCTGGAGAACTGTGAGCTAGCATGACTCCCTGGTGGCCTAGGGATTAAGTCTCAACACTATCACTAAGGTCTGAGTTCAATCCTTGGCCAGGGAGCTAACCCACATGGTGCAATAGACCTCCTCTAACTCGCCCGCTGCTCCCCTCAGCAGTATATTTCAGTAAATCCACCTGTTCTGCTCCCCTCTCCCCTCTTTTTCTCTGGTGAATCCTCTCACCTCCCCACACCTCTGGCCTACAACAACAAAAAAAAAAGAATTGTGAGCTAGAAATCAAGTGTCCTCTGTCTTTGCTACTGAACGGTGGCCTTTGGAGCTACCACCTGGGCCCAGTTAAAAATGTAGAATCTGGGCCTACCTTGGGCTTCCACATCTGAAGGAGGTACCCTGCAATTCTATGATTAATATGCACAACAAGGATTTGAGAATTGCTATCCTACAGGATCCTGACATCTGTGGTTTGGAGAACTCACCTGGAGAAACTCTGCTCCTAGCACTTCTATTCAGACTGGAAAGAAAAAGATTGGAAAAGGACTTCATTCCTGACCCTAAGCATTGTTCCTTTTCCAGGAACTTACTCCACTAAGTCAGGGAAGGGGCAGGGCTTATTTTGTTTGATTTTATTTTGATTGCAAAAGTTGTACATGTTCATTGTAGAAAACTAGGGAAAAGCAGAAACAAAACATCCTACCACTCACAAAAATTGTTAACATATGACTGTGTTTTCTTCCAGATTTTTAAATGCACATGTACATTTTCCCCTGAAAAGGAGAGCATGCTGTATTTATAGTTCCAATTCTGTTTTCATTCAGCAGTATATCATATACATTTCCCCCATCTTCAAGAGTTTTTTTCAAAACCTGGTTTTTGAAAAATCTGCCCTTTCTAGTTGTCCATAGTTACAGTTAACACTAATACTGCAGTGATCAGCCCTGTTTCCATATCCCCAGGATGGGTGCCCACAAGTGGAATTCCTGGCTTCAAGGTCAAGGTGTGGTCCCTGAGGAGCCCCTTGAGAATTTACTCTTTCTCTAGTTTTGCAACTGGTTTTTTTTTTAAACTTTCCCAATTAACAGAAAATTAACATCTTTTGATGATTTGAGTTTCTTTGATGATGTGAAGTTGAGAACACTTTTTGTGTTCCTTGGCCATTTGCATTTTTTCTCTGGATTTTCCATTCATATCCACAAGGCAGGGCTTTTGAAATGGTTTTCACATGGAGATAAAAGTCTCTGCACACATTCAAATCTTCGTTTCTGGCCAGACCTTTCTAGTCATAAATTCTTTTTTAAAAAAATAAAAGATTTATTTATTTATGCATACAAGAGACAGAGTGGGGAACAGAACAGGCAGACTGACCAAAACACACCGCTGAGGGGAACAGCAGGCGCGACAGGTGAGGTCTGCTGCGCCACGTGGGTGTCTCCCTGGCCAGAGGCTGCAGATTGCTTCATAGTGCGGTGCTTAACCCCTTGCGCCACCAGGCAGGTCCCTCTAGTTATAAATTCTTCATTGTCTTATTGGCTGAGACTATAAGCAAGGTTGTGTCCTTTTTGAGAGAAATGAGTTTAATAATGTGCAGGAATAACTGACTAATGTACTCAGCACCTATTATGTGCCTACATTGTGCCAGGGGTTCTCAAAAACCTTATCTGTCCTACCCTCACGGCAGACCTTCCAGCTAGGGACTCTCCATTTCACAGATGGAGACACTGAGGCCCAGAGAGGGTCAGGGACTAGCAGGTGGCGGGATTGTTGTGTTCTCTTAACCAGCTCGTATAGTCCCTTTCCCTCCAGGGTGGGAGAGTGGATGGAGGGGCAGTCCTCAGGGCCCGCTCCAGCGCTGTGTCTCCTCCTCCAGATGGGAAGCCTATCGCCACGGATGTCATCGTCTTGGGCCGCACCAACTTGCTAATCTCCAGGGCACAGCCCCGGCATTCGGGTGTCTATGTCTGCAGGGCCAATAAGCCCCTTACACGCGACTTTGCCACCGCTGCGGCTGAGCTCCGAGTGCTGGGTGAGCAGGGTGACGGCTGAGGGTGTAGGTGTGAGGGAGACAGGATTGGGGCGGATTAACTGGGGCCAAGGGAAGACTAGGGAGAGAGAAGTGGGCAGGAGGGTATGTTAGACTGAGAGGTGATCCTGGAGTGTGAAAAGGGGATGGGGCTGCGTGGGTAGGGGATGTCAAGCTCACCAGGAGAATCCCTTTGTTAGGGAGCATCGAAGGTGACAGACTTGATAACTGGAAGAAAGGAGGTGGTGGAAAGAGATTGGAAGATGTACTAGGGGGAGTTGGGTCAGGGAGCAACTCTAGAAGGTAGAAGAGAAGGTAAATGAGGTGATGGGGTGAGGTACGGGAGGAGCTATTTGAGATATTTAGGGGAAGTCTGGGAACAATTCCGGGAGAGGAAGAGCATGGTCAGTGTGGGGCTGGGTTAAACCGGGGAGAGGGGTGTTGCGCTGCCCTGAGTATTAGGGGGGAGGCGGAGAAAGGTTAGAGCGCCTGGACGGGTGCGGTCGTCAGTGGGGATATTTGGGGTACGGGACAGAGCTCCTAGTGATCGGAGTACTAGCTCAGCGCCCCCTCTCCGCCCCCAGCGGCCCCTGCCATCTCGCAGGCGCCCGAGGCGCTGTCGCGGACGCGGGCGAGCACCGCGCGCTTCGTGTGCCGCGCGTCGGGGGAGCCGCGGCCCGCGCTGCGCTGGCTGCACGATGGGGCGCCGCTGAGGCCCAACGGGCGCGTCAAGGTGCAGGGCGGAGGTGGTAGTCTGGTCATCACGCAGATCGGCCTGCAGGACGCCGGCTACTACCAGTGTGTGGCCGAGAACCACGCGGGCACAGCGTGCGCCGCCGCCCCGCTGGCCGTCGTGGTGCGCGAGGGGCTGCCCAGCGCCCCCACGCGCGTCACGGCCACGCCGCTGAGCAGCTCCGCGGTCCTGGTGGCCTGGGAACGACCCGAACTTCACAGCGAGCAGATCATCGGCTTCTCTCTCCACTACCAGAAGGCACGGGGTAGGTCTGCTGGGGCCGGAGGCGCTGCAGCTAAGGCCCACCAGGGGGCGTCTCGGGAGGCACAGGTTGGAGGCTGAAGCGGGTCCTTTGGAGGTAGAGTGGGATGGGTAGGAGCCCCCGGAGAGAATTGAAGGGAGATGAGCTCATCTACCTTCAGACTTAGACAACAGTCTTCTGCCTGCAAAGTGTGTGGCACGTTTTCCTTTCAGCCAGTTTAAGAGAGGAGGAGGAAGATGCTTGTCCCAGGGAAAATGCCTTGGCATCCCTGGAGCCACATTTTAAACTGCTGCAGGAATAAATTCAGCTAGACGCCAGAAAGAACTTCCTAGGCAGTGGAAGAACTAATACAGTAGGACTAGAAGCCAGGGTAATTAATACTCTCCAGCTTAGCTTACCTGGTATATGATTCAGCTATAAATTATTTCAGAGCCTGGGACAATATGAAGGATCCCTAGACAGCCTTCAACTGACTAGGCCCTGGTGGTAGCCCTGTGACAATAGTCCTTTTGTCCCCTGTCACTGCAACAGGAATGGACAATGTGGAGTACCAGTTTGCAGTGAACAATGACACCACAGAGCTACAGGTTCGGGACCTGGAACCCAACACTGATTATGAGTTCTACGTGGTGGCCTACTCCCAGCTGGGGGCCAGCCGCACCTCCACCCCAGCGCTGGTCCACACACTGGATGATGGTAGGGCCTCTGAACCTGCAAGGGGCACCTTGGGGCCCAGAGAATTCCCTGGGGGTAGTGGCATTGCTTCTCTTTACTAGTGGGAGCTAAGGCACTTTTACCTGCCTTGTGTCATCTTTTGTTCCCTGTAAGGGGGTGGACAAGGGTTCTCCCCAGTTTATAGTCCGGGAAACTGAGGCCCAGAAAATGAGAGTGACTTGCCCAAGGTCAGTAGTACAATGGGACCCACACCCAAATCTTGAGATTCCCTGTATCCAATGACCCTTCTCTGGGACACACATGCACCCTCCAGTCAGGTAGGGGCCAGTGACATTAACCCATTGGTTGTGGGAGATTGTGCTCCAGACTTATTTCTGGCTTCAGGGTGGGAAGGATGTTCCCTCATCTCCAGCTTGGGGCTCTCCTGAGAGGCTCCCTTTCCTCCCTCAGATCCTGGTCCTGGGCCTACTTCTGACTTGCTGTGTGACCTGGGCAAGTCTCTGACCGCTCCTGGGCCTCACCTTCCACGTCGGTGGAGCAGAGCTCATGCTGATGTTCTTCTGTCTCAGTCCCCAGCGCAGCACCTCAGCTCTCCCTGTCCAGCCCCAACCCCTCGGACATCAGGGTGGCGTGGCTGCCCCTGCCTCCCAGCCTGAGCAATGGGCAGGTGGTGAAGTACAAGATAGAGTACGGTTTGGGAAAGGAAGGTAAGTGGGGGCAGGTGGAGGCTCCACCTGCTTGGGAATTAAACATGTGAAGGGTTGGTCATAGCAGAATAGGGGGACTCTGAGGAAATTAGGCAGGGTGGTGCTATAGGGAAAATGAGCCTGGAAAAGAGGTGTGGGCTAAGGGTAGGGATGGCAGGAGTGAAAAAGAAAGACAAAGAGGCTAACTCAAGACTGGGGGAGGCCAGAGTCTATCCCCACCTGCTCTGTAGGTGCAGTGCATAATCCTGTAGGCTCCCTAAGTTTCTTATCTGTGAAATGAGGCAGGTAGCTAGGTAACCTCTGGGTCCCTTCCAGCTCAAAAAATGTTAATAAATGAGTGATAGACAGGTAGAGGGTATGTTTGTGGTACTGGGGGAGATGGGGTATTGGGGAGGGTGTGTTAAGGTAGATGTTGGTAACCTGGGGTGTGGGTATGCTAGGGATAAAGAATTAGGAGAAGGCAAGTGGCTGGGAGAGGGGTAGGGTGAGGGTGAGAAGGGAGGAAAGGTGAGACTTGGGATGGTCATTGGGGCTCTGGAAGGTGGGCAGTGCCTGTTGACCTTCACGACCAACCCTCTGTGCCTGCACACTGCAGGGGCAGGGAGGAGGGGCGGCCATTGGCAGCTTGTGGAGAAGTGGGGAAAGCATGCCATAATCCTCTTCACTCTGAGCCAAGGCTGATGGCCTGTGTCAGCCGGGGTTGGAGGCCTCAAGCTCCCCTGGGCACTGAGAAACCAGGATCTGAGATGAAAGAGTTTGGTGTAGGGGAGTTGTTGAGGGTGGCCACCCAGCAGCTAGTCCTTTCTGTCCCAGCAGATCAGATTTTCTTCACCGAGGTGCCAGGAAACGAGACACAGCTTACGTTAAACTCGCTCCAGCCCAGCAAGGTATATCGAGTGCGAATCTCAGCTGGCACAGGGGCTGGCTACGGGGCCGCCTCACAATGGGTGCAGCACAGGACGCCCAGTGTGCACAACCAGAGCCACGGTATGGGGTCAGGGATGACAGGGTAGGGCAGTGTGTGGGTACATGTGTGCCTTTGGAACCCAGACCAAACCACCTCCTCTCAGAGACCGCCCATGGCTCCTCCCACAGGATGAGTACTAGAGGACAGGTGTAGAGGCTGGTCTTTTCACACATACTTAGGCTCAAATGTCCCTTCTATTTGCCATGTGACCTCAGACAAACCGTTCACAACTCTAAGGCTTCAGTTACTGCCAAGCATGAAGATTGATAATGCATTGCAAATGAAGTCTCCAGTACATAATAAGAAGTTGCTAAATAGCAGCTGCTTCCATTATTATGGTTGTATTTGGTTTTGTTGAGAGGCCCAATAGTAGAGTGGTTAAAGGCAGACAAAACCTGGTGCACATACTATCTCTGTGACCTTTGGCAAGTCACTTAACTTCTCTGAGCCTCCTTTTTCTTATCTGTAAAATCGGGATAATAGTGTTTTTATTATTTTATAAAGTTGTGAGAATGAAGTTAAAATACATGTATAAAATGCTTAGCATAGTGTCTGACACCTAGTAAGCCCCCCATGCTTTGACTCTAAGTAGAGTTCCCCACTCTAATGGCTCTATCCCTCCATCCCAGCCTCTACAAACACTGTGATCCCCGACTGCTGCCTTCCATAGAGTCCTTCAGGGGACCTAGAGAGCCCCACACTCTGCCCTTTGTTAACCTCTTTGCAAATGCCCTGAAGACATCCCTGCATTTGCAGAACTCTGGACCTGTACAATAATGACCCCAGGCCTGGCACTTAGGGTGGTGGGTGAGCGGTGATGCTTTGAGAGAAGGCTGACAAGAACATCACTCAGTGCTTCTTCCTGCTTTTTGTCTCTTCTTGCCTCTTCTTCCTCTTCATCCCTGGCCTTCTCCTCCTCTGATGCCCTATTCTTGTCTTTCTCCTTTGCATCCTGTTCCTCTGTCCCCAGTCCCTTTTGCCCCTGCAGAGTTGAAGGTACGGGCGAGGATGGAGTCCCTGGTCGTTTCCTGGCAGCCACCCCCTCATCCCGCCCAGATCTCTGGCTACAAACTGTACTGGCGGGAGGTGGGGGCTGAGGAGGAGGCTGATGGTGAAAGCCCCCCAGGGGGCCGTGGAGACCAGGCTTGGGATGTGGGGCCTGTCCGGCTCAAGAAGAAAGTGAAGCAGTATGAGCTGACCCAGCTAGGTGAGGAGGGCTGGGGGAAGGAGCAAGATGGACATAGCTTCAGCGGGGGGCTGGACAAGTTGGGTGCAGGAGTCGGAGATGGAGTCTTCTCTGGGGATGAGAGAGTGACCCCAGAGGCCCCACTAGCCAGTGAGTGACCCCTGTGACCTTCTGCAGTCCCCGGCCGGCTGTATGAGGTGAAGCTCGTGGCATTCAACAAGCATGAGGACGGCTATGCAGCAGTGTGGAAGGGCAAAACGGAGAAGGCCCCCATACCAGGTGAGGAACTGCGGAGGCGGGAGGAGGGCTCCATGGAGGCTTCTGTGTGCGGCTCCCTTTCCTTTTCTCTGGGCTGGTCCTGGTGATCAGGCCATCGGGTAGCCTCAGCCACCCCATTTTTCTAGGCCCAGGGTCCTCGTCCAGCTCCAAACAGCCTCTGTCATAGACAGAAAACTTGTGCCCTGCCTTTTAGTCTTGTCTTTTCATGATCTGTGAACTAATTTGTAAGGTTTGGACAGAGAGCAACCCTATGGTGGAAAGTGACTCCTGACCCTAAGTTTGACCTTTACATTTTGAAAACACACCCACCAAGGCCACACTCTCATCTTATCCCTGCACTCCAAGCAGGGAGAATCTGTTATGTGACTCTCAGGAAACTGAGGCTCAGGGAGGTGAAAAGACTTGTCCAAGTCACACAGAACCCAGGCTTGAGCCAGGACTCCCAGCTCCCAGGCAGGATCTTCCCACTCAGGGCCCTGTCCTGGTGTCATGGTGGCGCACCCCAATACTCCCTTACCCCTACTTCCCAGGCTCATTTCCACCATGGAAAGCATGTTAGTGGAAAGAAAACTCAACCTGGAGCCAAGAAACCTGGGCTCTAATTCCAGTTTGTTTGTTCAGCAAATTGTTTACTGAGTGTCTGCTATGAGCCAGCTTTGTTCTAGGAATTTAGTGTGAAGAACTGCACAAATAAGGCCCCTGCTCTCCTAGAGTTGGCATTTTATGTAATAAACATTACATTATGTAATAAACATTTATCATCCTATAGTACTTACCATATATATACACAGGTACATATATGCTGCATATATATTTCAGGCTGCTGTAACAAGAATATCATAGACTGGGGACTTAGGTAACTAACATTTGCTACCCACAGTTCTGGAGGTTGGGAAGTCAAGATCAAGGTGTCGGCAGAGTCAGTGTCTGCTGAGAGCCCACTTGCTCATTCATAAACCATAGATCATCTTTCTGTGTCCTTGTGGCAGAGAGAGGGCTGGAGAGGTCTCTTCTGCAAGGGTGCTGTTTATGAACTGAAAGTTTGTGTGCTCCCCCAATTCATATGTTGAAACCCTACCCTCTGATGTGATGCATGAGGAGGCAATTAGGATTAGTGCCCTTAGAAGAGTCACAAGCAAGCCTGCAACCCAGAAGAGGACCCTCACCAGGACTTGAATATGCTGGCACTTCACTCTCCAGACTGTGAGAAATGAATGTGTTGTCTATAAGCTACCCAGTCTGTGGTTCTTTGTTCTGGCAGCCTGAATGAACAAACACAGGCACTAATCCCATTCACGAGGGATCCACCGTATGTATATGAATTTTGGGGGGGACCCAAACATTCAGTGCATAACAATATGCCAGACACATTTCCATGTACTTTACAAATATCAAGTAATTTAATCATCATCTCGTAGCTACTCCCTGAGGCAGATATTTCTATTGGTTTCACTTACAGAATAGGAAATAAATGCATAGAAAGGTTAAGTAACTTCTTTGTGGTCACACAGCGAATCAGTGGCAGAGGTGGGATTTGAAGTGGGGCCGCCTGGCTCCGGAGTCTGTGCTCCTAATTGCCATGATTTGCTACTTCTCTCCAGTACATTCTTACATATTAGTGTTCCACAGTCCTCTCTATGTATGACCTTGGCAAAAATCACTTAAATTCTTTCCTCATCTGTGAGCAGGAGCAAAAGAAGGGAAAAGGAAGTGACTATAAACTGGGAACTTGAAACCACTTTACATGTTTAGGGAGGAGTGTCTTCCTCTCTTCTCCAATACTTTTCTTTTTCACCTTCCAGATCTACCCATCCAAAGGGGACCACCTTTGCCCCCTGCCCATGTCCACGCAGAATCCAACAGCTCCACATCCATTTGGCTTCGATGGAAAAAACCAGATTTCACCACAGTCAAGATTGTCAACTACACTGTGCGCTTCAGCCCCTGGGGTCTCAGAAATGCCTCCCTGGTCACCTATTACACCAGGTAGGGACTGGGCTGGTGCTGTAAAGGGGGAGGAAGGGTGGACAGGGTGGTGAGGGAGGCAGTGGGTGGTGGTGAGGAGAGACACCCTGGGATTCAGGAACAGTCCATGGTTCGCATGTCATATTGGGGGACACAGATGGAGAAGGGGAGGTCATTCAATCCCATCTCCTCAAAACACAACTTTGCACTTACCCCATTGGGAACATGATGCAGGACTGTCCTATTACTTCAACCTCAGAGGGCTCACAAGAAGAGACAGCCCGGCTGCTGTCCTGTGAGGGGCCCCAGTCAGATGGGGAGACAGAACCCCTGCCATGAGGAGTTGCTGCTTTATCAGAGAAAATATTACATAGATATAAATGGTTGCAGCAGATGAAAAATTAAATCAAGGAAAAGATGCATTAAAAATGGTTCTCTGGAGGCCTCCCTGGTGGCGCAAGGGGTTAAGTTTCAGCACTCTGAAACTTTCTGCAGCCACTGCAGCATGAGCTCGAGCCCCAGCCAGGGAGTTAAACTACATGGTGAGACAGACCTCTCCTGTCTCTCATACTGCTCCCCTCAGCAGTGCATTTCAGTAGATCTGCCTGTTCTGCTCCCTACTCTGTCTCTGGTGAATCCTCTCACCTCCTCCCCTCCCACCTCTGACCTACACCCCAGCATTTGTATGTGTAAATAAATGAAATAAATCTTTTTTTTTTTTTTGAAAGAAAATGTTCCCTGGGTAGAGAATGACTCAGATTAATCCAGAAAGGTTTCCTGGAGGATGGGGCATGGCTTAGAGACTGGACAGGGTGCACAGTTGACAAGACACCTTGGGAGCAATATATATTCAGACCTCTCTGTAGGTCTTCTGGGTGGTTTAGTGGCCTCCATGCCCAGGGGCAGATTCTCTTCCCCAGGTGGGATCTGGGGCTGGGGCAGGGGCTAGGGCAATAGATTAGAAGAGTGTGCCTGAGTACTAGTCATGGTTCTTCGGTTCTTCCCTCGGCAGCTCTGGAGAAGACATCCTCATTGGCGGACTGAAGCCATTCACCAAATATGAGTTTGCGATACAGTCACACGGTGTGGACATGGATGGGCCTTTCGGCTCAGTGGTGGAGCGCTCCACCCTGCCTGACCGTGAGTGTCCCTCTTATCACCAATCTGTCCTGCCCCAGCAACCCTGTTTTCTAAAACATCCCTCAGAGCCCCATTGTGACTGTCATTTGCTTTGCATTTCTTAACTACTTACGCATGCATAATAATGTAAGATTTAGAGGAATGACTTCTTTTAAGGGGCTATAGCAAGACCACCGTGATGGGGGAAGAGAGGCTAGGCAAGGGCAGGAGTCCTAGATTTTGTATTAGGGTCTCTGTCCTCTCCTTGACATTGCCAGGCCCTTCCCACCCTCATATGTCCTCATTCCTCAGAAGGGAGGAGAGGCCCATTTGCTCTGGAACCCTCTGGAAATGGCATTTCAAGACAAATGGACTTCTCTTTTCACAGCAGAGGCTCTTTGGTTCTGCAGCACCATGACCATTTCCCTTCTCACTAACAGAAGACCTTTGTCCCATGATCTGAAATAGAGATATATGTGAGGGTGAGAATAGAGGGTCCTCTGCTCTAATGAATTTCTTTTTTTTTTTTAGCTTTTTTTTTTTTAAGATTTATTTATTTATACAAGCACTGGGATACAGGCCAGAGGCACGGGAGGGTGAGAGAATTCACCAGAGACAGAGCAGGGAACAGAACAGGCAGAAAGACCGAAAGCACTGCTGAGGGGAGCAGTGGGCAAGACAGGAGAGGTCTGCTACGCCATGTGGGGATCGAACTTGTGCTGCAGTGGCTGGTGATAGCTTGATAGTGCCGTCTTTAACCCCTGCTCCACCAGGGATACTCTTTCAATAAGTATTTTTAAACACTGTTTACATTGAACTTTATTGTGGAATAGATGGCAACCTTAGTATGAGAATTTAAAATAAATGTAAATCTTCCCAAAAAATTTCAGTTCTGCTCCCAAGCCTCAGAATACCAGACAATTTCCTCAACTTTTGGAAGCATTGAGATGTGGAAATTTGAGGTGCTCTGCTCCCCTAATTGGGTGGAGCTGAGTAGGGAAGAGTTTCAGGGGGTGGATAGTGGTAAAGTTTTCTCCCTAACTGTTTTCTAGAAAGTCTCCAATTAGAGACCAGACCTCATTTTTTTTTTGTTTTGTTTTATCCAGTGAAAGAGGAAGAAGGGAGCCCATATCCTCACCCCTGTCTCCCAGTTGCCCTCAGATCTAGGGCTCCTGGTGACCCTGCCTCTCCCTGTGTCCTCCCCTGCACTCAGGACCCTCAACACCCCCATCTGACTTGCGCCTGAGCTCCCTGACACCGTCCACTGTTCGGCTGCACTGGTGCCCTCCCACAGAGCCCAATGGCGAGATCGTGGAGTATCTGATCCTGTACAGCAACAACCATACCCAACCCGAGCACCAGTGGACCCTGCTCACCACTGAGGGTGAGGGCTCCCACCCTGGGCATCCAAACAGGAACTTCCTCGGCCTCTCCAGTGGCTGGGTTTGTAGAGTGCTGCTGGTTGGTCCTAGGGGAGTCTAGGAGGAGTAGACAGAAGCCACTGCCCTAGTGGGAGGAGGAAGACTTTCTCAGTCCTATTTCCCAGCCCGTCCCCTTATCCCATTCCCCTCCACACACACACCGCGCCCCCCACCCAATCCACCACCCCTGCTCTGTCTGCTTCCCCCACCCCAGGAAACATCTTCAGTGTTGAGGTGCATGGCCTGGAGAGCGATACCAGGTACTTCTTCAAGATGGGGGCACGCACCGAGGTGGGGCCTGGACCCTTCTCTAGCCTACGAGATGTGATCACTCTGCAGGAAAAGCTCTCAGGTAGGAGGGCCAGAGGGAGGCAGATGTGGGGGCCATCCTGGGGTGACCTAGGGTCTCCAGAAACCCCTGGAGTTGACTTCTTACCTTGAAATCATCTCTTCCAAGACCTTGTCTCCAAGTCCAACTACTCTGTTATGGTTCTGGACAGTGGTCCCCCTGGTTCGGAGTAGAGGGGAATTTGAAGGGGGAAAGAGTATGGATCAGTGGCGATTCAGTGCAGAAGTCAGATTTATGGGAGACCAGTTTGGTTTGGAGACTAGTTTCTTCTCTGGGAGATTGCTATAATTGGAGGATTGGCTTGGTGACATGATGACCCTTGTGGGGTGGAAGTGGACAGCCAGACTATGTCATTTGTATGACTCAGTATAAATGAAATGTGGGGTCCCTTATTTAAAAATGAGGGTCAATTTTAACATGGTGACAGAAGAGCATTAAACTCTTAAATTAAAGTGTGGGCCCCTCTGAGTTAGGCCCCCTTCAATCTCACTTGCCACACACCCAAGAAACCCTGGTGGACAGGCAAGAGTGTCACTGAAAGGGTCAAGTTGATGGATCAGTATCACAACTTCCAGATGTCCAAGGGGGAGGACGGTCAGAGGAAGAAGCAGGGTGGAGCCTCCCTGCCTGGCATCTGAAGATTTCAGGTATCCAATGGGTGAGAGTCAGGCTAGTGGTCTTCTGAGGAAGCCACAAGAAGTCCTATCTATGAATCTCGGGCTTTTCCTGTCCTTGACCACTCTGTCCCCTCTCTCTCCCACAGACTCCTTGGATGTGCACTCAGTCACGGGCATCATAGTGGGTGTCTGCCTGGGCCTCCTCTGCCTCCTGGCCTGCATGTGTGCTGGCCTGCGCCGCAGCCCCCACAGGTGGGCGAGGGAACCCGTCTTGACCACAGAAAAGAGAGATTTCCAGAAGGGCTGCAGAGCTGAGAGAGAAAGGAGCCATGATTTGCCCCCACAGAGCTCCACTAAAATTAGGACTCTGGGATGAAGGGACTGGGGTGATGTTCTCATGAGTGTGGGGCAGGGTTTAGGGGAATCCCCAGCTTACCCCCCTCAGTGAGGGCAGGCATAAGTAAAGCTACTTTTCTCCCACTTCCTCTATAGCTGCCAGCACCTTAGAAGTGGGACCCCAATGTCCAGATGCCTGGAGCCAAGGGAGGAAGGCCCCCCTATGTAGGGTCATGGCTGTTTTAAAATGTTTCTCACTCATTGCACAGTCCAGAAGATCAAGTCCCAGAGATGGACAGAATCTACCCAGGAATATAGACTTGGCTAGACCCTTGCCCCCCTCCTCCACCTGACCCCTCACTCTGACCAACACTGCCTGTTGCCCATCTTCATTTCCAGGGAAACCCTCCCAGGACTGTCCTCCACGGCCACCGCTAGAAACCCTGCACTGTACTCCCGAGCCCGACTGGCTCCCCCTAACCCCCCAACTGCCCATGAACTGGAGTCCCTTGTGCACCCCCGTCCCCAAGAATGGTCCCCACCACCATCAGACATCGAGGACCGGGCTGAAGTGCACAGCCTCATGGGTGGTGGTGTTTCAGACTGCCGGGGTCACTCCAAGAGAAAGGTGAGTTTGGAGCTTGGGTAGATGAGCCCCACACTGCAGCTCATTCCCAAATAGGACAGCAGGGGGCACAAGAGCACAGCATGTGACCCTGTGAGAGAACCTCCCCTCCCCTCGCCTTCCCTGGCTAACTGCAGGAGAAAAGGGGCACTCTCTCCTTCCATGAAAGGGTTGGCAGGGCAGGGAAGCAGATGGGCCTCCGCCCCCTGGCAGAATGGGTCAGTCTAGTTGTTATGCCCCTGATGGGCAGCTGACTCAGGGGGATCAGAACACCCAAATCCTTCCGCCTGGGAGTTGGGGTGACCTCCAAGACCCAGTCCTCCCCATATAGGGAAAAGAGCCTGGTCAATTTGGCTGTAGTCAAATAAATTGGGACCCAGAGAAGGCAGAAGGCATGTTCCCCTCCCTATACCAGCAGGGTGGCTCATCTCACTCTGCCCCCGAGCAGTCCCCTCAAATCTGAGTCTTTCCTCAGCTTCTCGCTGCTTCTGTGGTGAAGGAGATCCTTTCTAACTTGGAAATCTCTGGGTCTTACCAGAACATCTGATATTAGGCTTTTCTGCAGGAGTCTTCACCATCCTCAAGTTCACCCCACACTCTTAGTCCATTTTGTGCTCCTCCCATAACCTTGCGGTGGGAGAGACCCAGGGGTCCTAGAGTCTAGCTCTACTACGTCCCTCTCTTCTGCTTCTTTCTCCCGCCAAGCCCTCAGTGCTCCCACTTCCTTTCCCTGTGCAGGTCTCCTGGACTCAGCCCGGTGGACCCACCTGGGCAGGTTCCTGGGCAGGCTGTGAGCTGCCCCAAGCAGGCCCCGTGCCCTCTCTGACCCGGGCCCTGCTGCCCCCTGCTGGAACTGGGCAGACACTGTTGCTTCAGGCTCTCGTGTATGACGCCATAAAGGTCAGTGTGCCGGGAGAAAGGGAGAGGAAAGGAGAGAAGGGTCCCCAAGCTTGTGAAAAGCAAGTAGTGAGTTCTCTGAGACCCCCGAAGGTCACTTCTCTGGGGATAGGTGTCTAACCAGCAGACCCTGGAACCTCTACAGGTGAGTGGGCGAAAAACAAGCCAGTTTTCTAGAGTCTGTTTCACCTGGTTTGGGAACAGTCCCCTCTCTACCCACACCTAAGTGGGCCACAACAGAATTACCGTGTACCCGCCGGTGGGCCTGGCCTGAGTGCATCCAGCCTTCTCTCCTGTTCACTGAGGCCCTGACTGTGTCCGCTGTGTCTGGAACTCGTGGGTGTGGGCAGATGGGCAGTGTTCCATTTCTTCCTGCCTTCTCAGGAGGCTGACCATCATCTCTCATAGGAGAGTCACTGCTTCCCGCCCCATCTCCCATGTGATTGACACTCTGGGGCCCCCAAGGGAGGGTTGGTCTCTCTGCACCCCAACTATGTTGGCCATTCTGATGGTCCATCTTAATGATGCTCACTTGTCTTTGTGTTATCTGCTCTGACTAGGGCAATGGGAGGAAGAAGCCGCCCCCAGCCTGCAGGAACCAGGTGGAGGCTGAAGTCATTGTCCACTCTGACTTTAGTGCCTCCAAAGGGAACCCTGACCTCCACGTCCAAGACCTGGAACCTGAGGAGACCCTGTGTTTGGATGCGCCTGAACTCACCTTGGGGGTTGTAGATCCAGGGCAAGGAGCAGACTGGCTGGACACAGAGCTGGGAGGGTGTGAGCAGGCAACTAATGGGCCAGATAGACTTACGTGCCTGCCAGAGGCAGCCAATGCTTCCTGCCCCTACCCGGACCTCCAGTCCAGTGAGGCTTTGGAGGAGGTCCCTGGAAATAGCTGCCAGCCAAAGGCCCCAAGCCCTCTAGGAGCCAGTCCAGGCCTGCCCAGAGCCCCAGTCTCCTCCTCTGCTTAGCTCTGTAGCGGGTGCAGTTGGGGCAGGCTGGTGTGGATCACAGGACATGACATGTGTGGCCACAAGTGCACACACATGTACCTGCAGATACTGAGCACCACCAAGCCATCCGGAGCCTTCTCGGGTGCTTTGGCTGGGGGAACAGGGAGAAATGGATTGATTCACTCCTCCCATACTCGACGCATGTGATATGTGAAAGACACATGAGGCACCGCTAAATGTGATATACGCACGTGTGAAGCACGAATATGTGCTGGTTGACGAACTGGGGACCTTGGTCCAGGCAATGGTCACCACGGCCTAACTGATCCTCCAGGTCAGGACAGTGTCCCAAAGTGGTCCGTCACCAGCCCTGAGGGCCCCGCACCTCCGCTGCCCAGCCTTTTATTACACTCTGAGAGTGTCTCCAATGCCCTGTCTGACAAAGACAGCCCCAGCCCATTTTCCTGTCTGGCTGGGCTGAGCGCGAGTAGGCTCTGAATGCCTGACATTTTAGCTGCATTGCCTCCGTCTCCCATGTCCCCACGGCCCAAGTCGAGAGGGTGACCCTGGCTCCCCTCGAAGCAACTCTGCATTTAATTTTGTAATTTGGGAAGTGCCTGGTCTTGAAATCTCTTTCTTTCCCTCCCCTTCACTGTTCTGTTGGTCTGTCTCCCAGCCTCCTTCCCTCCCAGTTCGATTCTAGTGTCCCATTCTGCTCCTCCTTGCTGATACTCTCCTTTCCTCTGTGCTTTGTGTCCTCCGTGAGTCTCTGCTGGCTCTCTCGCCTCTCCCAGACTGTGTCATGTGGCTGTCCTGCCTGGGCTGCAGCTCTGCATCCTCCCCTAACAACATGACTACCTCATGTCTGCTTCGAGGCCATAGCTGACTCCTGTGTCTGCCGTTCACTCACTCGCTGGTCATCCTCCTGTCCCCTCTTCTCTCTGTGCCTCCTCACGCCTCTCCCCAGGCAGACTGCCCAGGCCCAGTGCAGATGTGGGGAAGGCCTTCCAACTGCCCTGGTATCTTTCTCCCTGGGATCGAGATAGGTGAGTTCTCCTTGGAGTTGATGAATCCAAGTCACACAAGGGGATTTTTGAGACAGGGAGAGTGTGACCCAGAGGCTCAGGATAAAATTACTCCCTTTTCTGCAGGGAGGTGGGTTTGCTTGATGGTGGGGGTTAAGGTCCACCTTTCTTTCCAGTTGAAGCTAAAGGAGGGGCAAGGGTGGGAGTTAGTGTACCCCCAACCCAGCCCCAACAGCCCAGCCATTCCCCTCTATGTACCTTGAAGAAGTGGTAGAGTTGGTAGTGAGGGGGAATCTTATCCTCTGGGGTGCTGGAAGGGAGGTCTTTGCACAGGACAAAAGTGATTGGCTCCTTTCCTTTCGTTTTGTTTTTGCTTATTGAATCCTGAAGTCATTTTCTGCTGACCCACCACCCAGAGACAAGCTTGACTTCTATTTCCCGTGTGGAGGAAACAATGTCATTTGTTTGATTTTTGCACCTCAGCTTCTTAGAGAAGCCTAGAACAAGAGGTTTTTCCTCCCTAAGTGCATCTCTTGAACAGATTGGCACATCAAGGGTTAACTCTGGCTTCTGGGCCAAATTAGAAATAACCAGTCTATCTTTCCTAGGTTTTTTTTTTTTTTTTTTTCCTCTCTTTTAATGGTGAAATGCCTCTCAGTGGAGTTGCAGCTTCCTCAGACCCTTTCAGCATCTGTTTATTACACTCGGGTGTCACTCACGTTTGACATCCCGCACCTACATTTCCTCCCCCTCCCCCTCCTTCAGCCAGCTTATGATAACACTAAAGATTATTAATGTTGGTTTTGTATCTTGTTAAGGACAGAATTGTCACTTGTACTGTTTCTGTAGCATTCAGCCTTGCTGTGGCTAACACCACTGTCTATGTTTCATCATTGCTCTGAAGGTCAAAAGCCTCATTTTATTTTGCTGGTCTGATTTTTTTTTTTTCCAGGGGAAAAAAAGTGCCCTGAATAAAATGGCTGTTTTAACAGTAGGCTCTTAGCATTACACCACATAGTCATTTTTCATGTTCTTGTTTAACAGGCACTGAGGTTCTGGTTTAAATTAAATAGCTGCAAATGAGACAATTTATAACCCATTAGGTTGGGTGGAAAATTGTTTCTCAAAAGCAAATAAGTAATAAATCTGGTATCTGCCTATAACTCACAGTTGATAAGAAAGTGGCCATTACTCACTAGCATTATATATGATTTGGGCTCTGGGTAATTTGGAAGTGTTAGGTTTGTGTCTTTGTAGCAGTATTTTTATTAGAAAAGAGTCTATTGGCCTTTTACAGGGTATTAATTGCTTTTGTCACCCACCATTGATGCCTTATGTTTTTTGAGTCTCACTTAAAAACCTTCCTTTTCTTGATGCATGACAAGTGTAATCAATATGTGCTCATTTATTTGTCTGTATTTAGTTTATGCTATATTATTTAATTACTTTTCCAGCAGTTTTCTTTTTCTTACAAATATGATATTCTTTAGTGTTAAGCCAAGGCATTGATCATGTATCTGTCCCTATAATGAGTTAATAAACTATTTTCCAAAAATGTGAAATTCTCTTTTGGAACCAATGATTAGTCTTTCTGCCCTGGGGACTGTATTTCCTATCAGGACAGGAAGTGTTGATTTTTGAGGGCAGAGAGCAGGCAGTCATGGGGAAGAACTAAACCACCTTCCTCTCTCAATAGACACTAAGGAAAAGGATTTAAATCTAGTAAGGATGCCTTCTTGATAACACTCTTCTGGGCTCTCTGAGGATCTTTTTTCATCTGGGCACACAAGGGTACCCACGCACAGTGGAGTGCAAGGGAGGCATGAAGGAACAATTCTAGAGATTTGGGTTCTTCAATCTTCTGTGTAACTCTGGACATCAAAACTGCTCATGGCTGCATAGTCACACTTGTGGACACTGTGCCCACAAGCTTAGAATCACACATGTACAGGCACTTTCACCAAGATCCTGCGTCCCTTAACTCAAATATGGGTAGTGTCTCACACCCCACACCCATGGCAGGATCCCAGTTGGCAGCAGCTCTGATGAGATTTTTACAGAGCCTGGAACACACATACTTTTCTACTGGAAGGAACCAAGAGCCAGAGGCTGTCTTGCCCAGGACCACCCCCAAAGTGACTGGTGGGCCAGACCTGAGAGTTAATTGACAGATCACACAGAGAGATACTGCACATTTTGCATGCAGCAGAATAGCCATTATTTGCATATCACTCTCAGACCAAGGGTTGTGATAAAGAAGAATTAAACACTTGTCAAAATGAATTTAAAATGACAGCAACTCAGGATACCAATTTGACCTCTCTGGAGCCCAGGACAAGCCGTGAAAGCCCTATGGAAGGGAGTTCCAGGACTTTCCCTCCTTTTCCTATGGCCGGTAAGAGGCCCATCATCCCTGCCTTTCCTCACAATTAAATTTTTTTGGGGCCCTGGCATGCTTGTGTCCCTGATTCTGAATTTCTCCATTGCCTCCCACTTCTTATTTACCTCAAGTCCTGCCTCTCAGGCTCATCTTCCAATTGCTATTAAGGTGTAGGGAGTCCCTGGGATGCACAAACCCCACCAATTGTAAACTTTCCTGATTTTCAGAGAACTGAAATTCTTTAACTCTTCTGGTTAGTTTCATATATGGTTAAGACTCCTGATCTGGGGCCTCCCTAGTGACACAAGGGGTTAAGTCTCAGCACTATGAAGCTATCAGCAGCCACTGCAGCACTATTTCTTTTCTTTCTTTTTTTTTTTTTAAAGATTTATGTATTTATGCATATAAGAACTGGGGTACAGGCCAGAGGTGTGGATGGTGAGAGGATTCACCAGAGACAGAGTGGGGAACAGAACAGACAGACTGACTAAAATACACTGCTGAGGGGAGCTACAGGTCAGTCAGGAGAGATTTGCTGTGCCATGTGGGTTGCTCCCTGGCCAGGGATCCAACTTGTGCTGCAGTGGCTGCAGTCAGCTTCATAGGTTGCGTCTTAACCCATTGCACCACCAGGGAGGCCCTGCAGTACTATTTCTATCCCAGGCCAGGGAGCTGACCCACATGGCCCAGTGGGCCTCTCCTGTGTTCCCACCCCAACAGTGTATTTCAGTAGCTCCACCTGTTCTGTTCCCCACTCTGTCTCTGGTAAATCCCCTCACACACACACACACCCTCCGTACCTCTACCCTACACCCCAGTTCTTGTATACATAAATAAATAAATCAATCTTTAAGAAACAGACTCCTGATCTGAAGACCCTAGAATTAGTATGAAAACAGAGACTTAATTGACTTAATTTCTCTGCTATCCCAGTCTAACACCAGAGGAGCAAAGAGTGAGTGAGGCAGAAACTACCCCCTTTAAATCTCTTGCTCCTAGAATTTAGCAGATGTTAACCATCAACTACACGACTGGCTAGTCCATCGTGCTGGACCCAACCAATCATCGAATAGTGAGTGGCCAAGGTTCAAGATCTCCCAGAGCTGGCATAGGTATCTGTCTCCTCAAATACATGTGTCATCTTTTCTTCTTTAACATTCCTAGGTGGGACCCCCCGGTCTCCTTATATGAATTCTGACATGAAGCATTGAGTCTTCTTTGTGGCATAGAAACGTTACTGGGATTTTAACTTTCAGTGAGCTTCTCCAGTTAACCGGTCAGGGCCTGTGTCAGGACCAGCGGTGAGTAGAAGAGATATGATTATTTTATCTTTCAGATGAGCTCAGGGACTGCCTCGCTGTTTGGGCAGAACTGGGGTGTTCGAACCCGGGTTCCCTTAGCTTTCTCATTGTGCTCTTGAGTCTGTTCTCTCTGAACCCTGGAGGATGCTGCTGCCCTCCCACCCCTGCTACCTCCTATTCACCCAAGCGCCACAACTGTCCTGTCCAGAAAGGCCATTCTTGCATCTAAGCAGCCTATGGTTTGGGTGGAACGACTAGGAACCCAAAGAAAACAGAATCTTTGATAACTTTCTGCAGTTTTTAGGGAATTATCTCGAAAATATAGACTTGGACACGGTGGAGGAGGGCGCAGCAGAGTGGGTCAGAGCAAACCCCTCAGCTTTGCGTATTTCTCCACAGCTCGGACCCACTCCAGAGTCCGCTGGGCTGCGCTCCTCCAGGCCCCCAAGTCTGTGACTGGCCCGCAGGGAGGGGGCACGGGGCTGCAGCCCGGGACAGCGCCGGTCGCTCCAGTCACAGTTCAAAGCGCAGGGGGCGCGTCCGCCGCCCAGCCGGGAATGTCCGGCCGCTTAAAGCGCTCGCCGGCTCTTTTGTTCCCTACACCGGGCCTCCGGGGAGAGGGGGCTGGGGGAGGGGACCCGGAGGGGAGGAAGGGGGGCGACGCGCGGAGGGAGGAGGGCGGGGCGGGCGCGGGCGGTGCGAGTGAGGAGCGCGCACCCTGGGCGAGGCTGACAGATCGCCGGGGTGGGTGCAAGATGGCGCAAGCGGCGCTCCCCCTGCGCCCCCGGCGCTCCTGAGCCGGCATGTGGCCCAGCCCCCCGCCGCCCGGGCTCGGCCCCGGCCAGAGCCCCGGCCCCGGCCCCGGCGCCGGCCCCGCGGGACGCTGTGAGCCGCGAGAGGCCCCGGAGCCGCGCGTTGCCGAGCGGAGCGGACCGAGAGCCCCATGGCTGCTCCGCGCACCGCGCCCCCGCGCCGGCCACGGCTCCTGCTGCCGCTGCTGCTGCCGCTGCTGCTGCCGGCGCCGAGCGACGGTGAGCCGGGGCCCTCGCGACCCGGGAGGCTGCGCCCCGAGCCCCCCTGGAGCCAGGCGGGAGTAAGCGGGCGCGAGGGGCGGACCTGGGGAGCCCCGCGCGGACCTGCGAGCGGACCCCGAGCGGCGGGGACTTGCGGGAGAAAGGGGGCCGGGCGGGCTGGGGCGGAGCCCGGGAAGAGGGCACGGAGGCCGGGCTGCCGGGCGACCGGGGAGTATCACGACCCGCCACCCCCTGGGAAAGCCGGGCTCAGCCCGCGGAGGCTCCGACTCAGGGCAGGATCCGGTCCCTGGTCCGAGGGGCGAGGAGCGCGGCAAAGCTGCGGCCGGGCTGCTGGGCTAGAGTTGGGCGAGGAGGAAACGCGCCGGGGGAGCCCGCTGGGCTGAGTCCCTCCTAAGGTGGGTGAACTGGGGTGCGCGGAGCCGGGCAGCGCGCACCGAGGAGCCCAAGGCGGCCGAGGCAGGAGGCAGCAGACCCGGGGCGGAGGCCGGGACCCCGAGGCTGCGCGGGGCGGAGAGGGCGCGCCCTGGATTCGGAGCTGGGACTGGACTGGAGAGCGCAGGAGAGACGGGAGGGGGAGAAAGGTTTGCGAGGGCTGCGGCTGGTGAGGAGAACACCGGGAGAAGCCCGCGAGCTGAAGCCGGGAAAGGGAAGCCGGCGCGGGACGCAGGAACCGCGGGGATGCGCACGTGCCCGCCCTGCGCAGCGCGCAGCGGGGCGTCCCTGCCCGGCTCCGCCCGGGCTGCGGGCTCTCTGTCCCGAGCTCCGTCGCCGCTACCCGGTTCCCCCAGTGTAGTAAGGGATGCATCTAGCGGGCAAAGGCTGCAATCTAGTCCTTTACCCTCGCACCCCAAGTTCTCAGCAGACCCTCACCGGGGCGGTGTTTTCTCCTCAACCCGGTAGAAGCAAGGTAGCGCGTCCGCATCTAGGAGAAACTTCATGTACCCGCGGCGAGACTGGGTTGGGTTGGAAGCTGAGGCAACTGAAGCGCTGGGCGTGGGAAGTAGAGGTAGGAGTTTGAAGGGGTGAAAGTCTCAAATGTCTGAAAATATCGCCAGCGCTCTCCTTGCTCCCGCACTCACCGCCGCGCCTCCCCCAGCCTGTGAGGGCGCTGGTCTTTGGGGCGGGGCCAGCTCCGGGAATGCTAGGTCCCTGGAAATGTTGGGGGTACCTTGGGGTGAGGAGGGGTGGGGGTGTCGGGGGAGAGGCTTGTGGCCTCCCTTTCAAACTTGATGGGTTTATTTCTCCTGGAGTAAAGTTCTAGCTGGCCTGGTAAATTACTCATTGGAGAAGTTGGCGACTTGGCATCACGCCTGGGATTAGAGTCCTCGTGCTTCCTGTCAGGCTTCCCGGTTCCCTGATCACCCTCGTTTCCCTTTCCTTCCCTCTCTTCCAGCTCATTTTTGTTCTGCAAGAGCTTTAGGATTACTGCAGAGGTTCTAGGAACCTCCCTCTTCCTGAATTTTGGAAAATCTGCTTTGGCATTTGGTACCCCTCATCTCATCTCATGACAAAAGCAAAACCACCAAAGCCAGAGCATCCTAGGGGAGGGGCGGTGGGGCTGGGCCACAGCCTAGCCTGTGCTTGGATATTGGGCCTCCAAACCCTGCTCCCTGTCAGGCATCAGACCGGGCCTCTGCTGGTTTAGCCAGCAAAAGGAAGTAATCATTTATTACTCTCACATTATATTTGTTTAGAACTTTTAACTTTTCATAGTACCTTTGAGCCTGTTAATCATGTTCTGCAACCTGTATTGTTCCTGATTTAAACAGATGAGGACTGGAAAGTCAGGACAGGTGAACACGTTACCTAAATCCTCACCTTGAAAGTCTGTGGGGCTTCAGTGCTTAATCAGAGTGACCAGAAACTACAGAAGTGTGACCAGAAGTGGCAGAAACTGCAGTGAAATCAGTTTTGCTTTTGTAACCTGGCTTTGCAACTATTAACTCGGAGACGCTGGACACATTGCTTGACATCTCTCTGCTTCAGTTTCCTTATCTATAAAATAGCCAATGATACAAATAATATCTATCTCTCTGAGATGTTCTACTAAGAACTACTGATTCAGTAAAATACTACATGAGACAGCACTTTGTAATGCATGAACTTCTATATATACTAGGGACTCCTTTTAACATTACAGAAAGATGCACAGATCCAGGGCACCTGAACCCCTGTGTGTGTTCTTCCTGGCCACTCATTCCACACTAACCTCACCATCTCTCCTGCTCAATGCAGGTCTTGGCCACTCCCCTGAATTGGCATTTGCTGTGGAGCCAAGCGATGATGTTGTAGTCCCTGGGCAGCCTGTACTGCTAGGCTGCAGGGTGGAAGGGACCCCTCCAGTTCGAGTCACCTGGAGGAAAAACGGAGTGGAGCTGCTGGAGAGTACCCACTGCACCTTGCTGGCCAATGGGTCCTTGATGATCCGTCACTTTCGCCTGGATCTCGGCGGCAGCCCTTCAGATGAGGGCGACTATGAGTGCGTGGCTCAGAACCGCTTTGGACTGGTGGTCAGCCGGAAGGCTCGCATCCAGGCTGCAAGTAAGTTGACACCCCTTACTTCTTTCCTCCCGGGCTGAGGATCCAGGGTCAGCCTAGGTAGGGTTGGGGAAACAGACATGGTTCCATTTTAAGCAAACTTCTAGAGACTATTTTCTCAGCATGGGTTAGTTGAGAGGTACATTGTTTGTGGTGGTGGAATTATATCATACCCTCAGTTATCTGATTGGAATGTGATTTGACAAGAATGTAGCCAAACAGTGTTGGGGAGAGATGGAGAAAGAAGGAAGAGCTTTATCCAACTCTTGGATCAGTGTGTCTTAGTTTCCACAAATACTGTGAGCTTCCCAGACCACTGAGTATGAGTTTTAAGTTTAAGGATAACCAGCTGTCATATTTTATGGGTGATTTAGAAGAATTTTGAAAGGTAATTTTGACCATATGCAATTTTTAAGTTAATGCTGACTTTTAAACACTTTGAGTAGGGTAAAACCTCACTCTGTTAGTAACATTGCTCTGAAATTTGCCAACAGTTTGCTTTACAAAAGATATGGCAGAATAATTTCAGTTATTGCAATGATGACATTACTCCCACTCATCTATACTGATATGCTTTAAAAAAATCAGCTTAATTGAATTATAATTGACAGATAAAATCGTGAGATGTTTAAAATGGACATTGTGGTGGTTTTATATCTGGTGGGCTTTTTTGAATGGGAGAGAGTTGGTTAAGCAAGGTGTTTCAGCTCCAGTTGAGCTTCACTTGTGCTAATGAACCTCCAATTGTTGTGATAAAAGGATCGCTGTGGTTTACTGCTCTGTCCTGCAAAAATTCTGTTATTCTTTAATCTGTGCACACTGATGGGTGTGTGTTGCATAAATCAGAATAATCTATCTCCAGGTGGAAAGTGTGTCCCATCTATATCTTTATCCTGGGGGAGGGTACCCCTTAAAGAGCCTGCTTTAACTTTTCTAGGTAATAATTCTAGCTCACACTTATTAAGCACTTGCAGTGTGCTGGACATCTTGCCTGAGCACTTTACATGTGTGATCTCATTTAATCATCACAGCCACCCAGGGAGGTTGCAGTTATCCCCTTTTACAGATGAAAAAACTGAGACTCAGTGGGGTTCAGTGACATCCTAGCATGCAGAGGAGCAGGACTGCACTCTCCCTCTTACCTCCTGTGCATGCTGCCACCTCCCTAGTCTGACCGCTGACAAGTTTCTTCCTGGTTCTGAGAGCATGTGTACAGTTGCTCTGAATGGCTGGTGAGTGATGAATGTTCTGAGGCGGGAGCCCTCTCGTTGAGCTTAAGTTGCCCCTTTGTTCTACAGAAGGCTGGTCCAGGCCCCCATATGGAGCTTTCTGGGAGGCAGCCCTGGACCTTGAGACCAATCACTTATGGCTCAGCAACCCCTCCTTCCCCGGCCCTCCTGGCGGTGTGGGGGAGGCTGGTGCAGTCTCTGAGCAGATGGCTGGGTGTGAGGAAGACAAGCATGGACGCGGGATGGGGACCCAAGGATGATTTGCGGGTGGGAGAAATGAGCGTTCTCAGGAAGATGACCTCACGCCCTCCCTGGCCTGCGTTCTCTTGCTGGGGAATAGATGACCCTGGGTCTCCAGCCCACAGTTCTGGAGATAAATCCCAGGTATCTATGTTTAGGTAACTGCAAATGTGCCTTTCTATAAATGGTAATACCTTTAAGATCTGTGATGTCCTTAAACTCCTCATAGTGTATAAGAAATTGAACTGTGGGCTCTGACTGGGGAAAGGGCCAGTGGGTAAGGTCAGCCTGGTTAATCCTTTAGTTTCCTGGGGACAGCTGGGGGGGACTTGCTGGCAGTCTGATATGGCCTTTCTCCGCACACAGCTTGTGTCCTCATGGGGGAATGCTCGGATACCAAGCAACCGGGTGGCTGGATCCCTTTTTCTCACTTCACAGGCTGATGTCCCTAGAAACCTCCAAAGCTGATTAGCTGCCTGGGTTTTCTCCTTTGGTAATAACTCCCTGCCCACGTGCCCGCAGGCACTGCAGATGTTGTGTGACATGGGAGTGTGCCTTACTGAAAAGGTGTGAGAAACCCTCTGGAGCCCCCTACTTCTGCCTGTTCCACAGAGGCTGATGGGGAGGGGGCCTGCTAAGCACCCCTCACAGCCACAATCTCCCCAGTGGACTACTCTGCAAGGCAGACAGGGGCTCAGGTCTGGGTGGGGCCTGCTGTGCATCTGAATTCTCTATGGCTGGGAGTGACACCCTCTATCCTGCTGGGCTCTGATGCTGCTGTTGAACACTGGTCTAACCAGGGTGACTAAACTGCAGACTGGTTTCTTGGGGGCTTCATTCCCATGTGTCTCCCTTTTAGGATGGAGTGGCTCGGGATCCTAAGAGTGCTTGTTCTTCTAGCATATCTGATTTCACTGCCTTGTATATGCTTTCTAGTTTGGAGGCTGAAGATTGTTAACAATGAGACCCTGGACAAGTTAACATCTCCATGGCCCGGTCTACTCATTTGTGAACTGTGCATAGTCCTGCTTTGTGGGATGGTTGTGAGAACCAACACTCCCACACTTTGCCTGACACATAGGAGGCTCTCGGTACTTATTCATCATTTAAAGGCCATTTCACTGACATGGCCAGCAAAAGCAACCTGCCTGGATCACCTCCCGGGCCCTAGCTTTCTCCCTTACTGGGATCCAGTTAAGGAGTACTCCTGGGAAATCTATCAGGGGTGGAATTGTTGGAGCCCAAGTGCAACTTGTTCTGTTTGAACCCCTTTCTGGGAGGGCCTGGGAATTTTCGCGAGTTTCTGGGCATGAGTTGAAGCTGGACTGGGCTGTGAGATGCCCCCCTGCCATCCTTATGGAGGGGCTCCCAGGAAGATATGTGGGCTCCCTGACCCCATGGGGACTTGTGCATTGACTCACACCTGTTGAGGTCTGTGTGCCTGGATGACCCCAAAGAGAGGTGGGAACTCTGTAGGGAGGGGGAGGTGATTGGGGGATGCATTCCCAGCGCCCCTTAGGCAAAATCCTTTAGTCCCTGCCCCTACTTCCTGGCCTCAGTTTATGGCCTCAGGCCCTTGGGGAACTGGAGTGAGGAGATATATGATCTCGTGCAGGACTTCATGAACTTTATTGTGCCTGTGAATTACCTGGGTGTCTTGACACTACTCAGTTTTTGAATCAGTAGGTCTAGGCCAAGGCCTGGGGTTCTGCATGTCTAACAAGACTCAGGTGATGCTGATGGTGCTGGTCCACAGGTGCTAGAGAAATGACCACTCTCACATAAATTGCTGGTTAGGGGGGTCTGTGGGCAGCAGGGTGAAGACCAAACTCTTGGACTTCAGGGTCAAGGGTTCACTCACCAGGTGAGTTTGAACACTTGCTTTGTCACTCATTGATCATGTGTCCTTTGCAATAAACTTTTTTCTTTTTTAAAGATTTATTTATGCATACAAGAGCTGGGGTGCAGTCCAGAGGTATGGGGGGTGAGAGGATTCACGAGAGACAGAGTGGGAAGCAGCAGGTGAGACAGGAGAGGTCTGCTGCACCATGTGGGTTAGCTCCCTGGCTGGGGATCGAACTTGCGCTGCAGTGGTGGCTGATAACTTGACAGTGCTGAGACTTAACCCCTTGCGCCACCAGGGAGGCCTTGCAATAAACTTGAGCCTCAGTGTTCCCTATCTGAAGCAGTGGGCATAATCCTGTCAGCCTGTGGGGCTGTTGGAGGATTAAAAAAGGTGATAATTGTAAAGTACCTGGCTCAGGGAGTAGCATCAAGGAAGTGCTCATTAAGGGTTATTGTTATTAAGTTTATTGTTATTGGTACTGCTAGGTATTGACCACTAAATTAGGTTTTAGGCCAGCCTGTCAAAATTTTGGCAAAGTACTCAGTGAGCCAGGACTGGGTCCCCACCCAGTCTGAAGCCATCTTGGCTAGGCAGGCCTAGGGGTGGATATGAGAGTGAGTGGTAAATCCAAGATATGGGAACAACCTAAATGTCCTCTGATGGATAAATAAAGAAAATGTGGTACACACACACACATAAGTGCGCATGCACACATGAATATTATTGTGTCATAAAAAGAGAAGGAAATCCTCTCACTTGCAACAATACAGATAAATCTGGGGGATTTTTTAAAAAAATATTTTTATTTTTATTTATTTATTTATGCATACAAGAGCTGGGGTACAGGCCAGAGATGCAGGAGGTGAGAGGATCCACCAGAGACAGAGTGGGGAACAGAACAGGCAGACTGACTGAAATACACTGCTGAGGGGAGCAGTGGGTGAGTCAGGAGAGGTCTGCCTCACCATGTGGGTTCCTCCCTGGCTGGCCGGGGAATGAACTCCTGCTGCAGAGGCTGTGGATTGCTTCATAGTGCGGTGCTTAACCCCTTGCACCACGAGGGATGCCCAAATCTGGGGGATATTATACTAAGTGAAATAGAACTGGAAGTGAAAGACAAATACTGTACAGTATCACTTATATGTGGAATAATTAAAAAAAAAAAAAGACAGATAAGAAAGCTGATTTTCAGAGAATGGGCAAACGGATACCAGTTGGGTAGACTAGCCACTCTGTAGAACTCACACTGTGTGACCTTGGGCAAGTCACTAACCTCTCTGAGCCTCAGTTTCCTCATCTTTAAAATAAAGGAACTAATACTTACCAAGGAGGAGTGGTGTGCAGATCATCAATGATAGTGTGCATAAAGAACTTCACATGGTGTAGGTACAGAATATATGAAAAGTGTTCCCTGGGCCTCCCTGGTGGTCTAGGGGTTCCATCTCAGCGCTATCACCTCTAACGCCTGAGTTCCATCCCCAGCCAGAGAGCTGGCCCACATATGACGCAGCAGACCTCTCCTGTCTCGCCTGCTGCTCCCCTTAGCAGTATATTTTGTGGTAATTTTTTTTAAAGATTTATTTATATATGCGTACAAGAGCTGGGGTACAGGCCAGAGATGTGGGGGGTGAGAGGATCCACCAGAGACAGAGTGGGGAACAGAACAGGCAGACTGAATCACACTAGCA